GAAAGGTCGCCAGTGTAAAAGGCGGAGAAAGGTCGCCAGGGGACAAAGCGGGGAAAGTTAGCCAGGGGAGAGAGCAAGGAAAGGTAGCCAGGGGAGAGAGCAAGGAAAGGTAGCCAGGGGAGAGAGCAAGGAAAGGTAGCCAGGGGAGAGAGCGAAGAGAGGCGTCTTTTTTTTTTTCTCCGTTGGTAAATCTCATTGAGCTCCTCATTTGAGAAGTAGGTCCTTACACAAATTGTGGGCACCCCTGTTCTATAATTACTAACTATACATGGAAACACGGTTGTTAAAATGCTTAAAATTTTTGTATTGGGCAAATCACTCGCAAATATACGTGAAAACCTTTATTGACTATAGAAAATCATAACACGTTTACTTTGTCTTCAGACTATGATGATGGTTTTTCTATGAAGCACAGTGCTGCTGCACGGTTCCAGAGGAATCACCGGTTAATCAGTGAGATCTTGAGTGAAAGCGTAGTCCCAGATGTGAGGTCTGTGGTCACAACAGCCAGAATGCAGGTTCTTAAAAGACAAGTCCAGTCCCTCATGGTGCATCAGGTGAGAACAGTAATGTCTTCGTATGGAACTCCATGGAATTTTATTTATTACAGATATTTATATAGCGCCGACCATTTACGCAGCACTTTACATAGTTGCACATTCACATCAGTCCCTACCCTCAAGGAGCGCACAATCTAAGGTCCCTATCTCACATGCATACATAGAGGGCCAATTTAGAGAGGAGCCAATTAACCTACCAGCATGTCTTTGGAATGAAGTATGCTTTTCATGGGCATGTTGGCTCTTATTGATATGGGAAATGTCTTCTTAGGAAAGCAGCTGCTCATGTTTGTGAAGCAGAACTCCAGAAATGTTGTTATTTTTTGTGAACTTACATTGGTCCAGCTTGGACCGATGTGATAATCCCTGTCTGATATCCAGAGGTCTTGTAGGGATTCTGAAAATCGCTGTACAGTCGGTGTTCTAAACAGTAATAGCGGTGATTCTCTGGGTGCTGCTCCAGCGGCCATTCCAAGCACAGAACTAAAATATGACTGGAGCTCCAGGACGGGAAATTAGGTTTAACCTCCCCAACAAGTACTTGGACTGCAGTAAATGTGTGCCGCCAGAGACTGTAACCCTTTCTAGTTCCAAAACAAAACCTCGGGCGTTGCTAAATATGCCTAGTAAGAAATCCCAGTGCTGCAGTCTCTTAACCCTCTTATGTTTTCTCACCAGCGGAAACTGGAAGCTGAGTTATTGCAGATTGAAGATCGTCATCAGGAGAAGAAAAGGAAGTTCTTAGAAAGTACTGAAGCTTTCAGCAATGAGCTTAAACGGGTAATTTATGTTTGAAAAAGGGAACCAGTCATTAAAGAAATAAAAATCTGCTCACTGATGTACTTTAGGAGCTTGTCCTTATGGCCTGATAGGTGTACTGTGGTAGCTGACCTTTCGTCCTCTGTTTCACACGGTTTTCCTAAGAACTTCAAATCTTTACACGTTCCCAGTCTGGCTGTGCTCTGGAAGGTATTTTCCATGTATTCTATGTACAATGGTACTCAATAGCTCCTTAGTGGATTCTTCATAGAATATTTTGTGCACATCAAAGCGTAGAAGTAGAAGGTTCAGCTTGCGCTTTTATACAGTGGAGACTCATCTGACCTCGTCTGTCCACTGTTGAAGGTTAGGAGGAGGAGGAACCACTTCCTTGCTGTTGGTTTCCTAGGCAGAAATGGTAACAGCGGTAGAAATATAATCTTCAAACAGCTCGACATAACCCAAAACACAAGGTATAGGTACATTTTCTAGACCAGTGCCATATCTTCTGCTAATAAGATTTATAATGTGTTGCCAGTACCTAAAATGTTTTGTGATGACACCAAAACATTTGTAATAAGGTTCCTTGATCACAGCTACATTTGGGGCAAGAAAGGCATTCCCGTCTACCAAAGTGAAATAACCACAGTGGAGTTCTGTAAGCCTTATGAAGAAGAGACAATTGAGTAAGGGCCCGTTCCCACCCAATGTGTTGGGGTTGTGCTGGACATTTTTCGAGCACATTGGTAATGTAAGCCAAGGCACTTTGCCTTGTTTAGATCGGCTCTGTTCACACCACCGTGTTGCAGGTGCGTTCTTGGAAAAACACGAATACGGGGAGCCGTGGTAATGGCGCCACCTCCAAATATTCACCAAACCCTGACACGATTTAGCCAGGGTCCTGGGGCATGCTCAAGCTGTGAAGACATGGCCCTAAAACCTATCTAAGGGTGGGATCATAGCAATGTTGGTAGATCACGCCCCATCCAGAACCAAATAAAGCACATGAGAACAGAAGCATAGGGCGGAGGAATGTACAAATTGGCCACAATACAAGGCACATGGTTAATACCGGGGGGAAGAAATGTGTATCTACCCTGTGGATCAATTTTGACCTGTCTGCAGGAGAATGATCCATATCTGGATTAATTGGAGTTTGTCCCAATGAGGAGGATTCTATAGACAGGACAGGAAGTGATGGGAAAACTTCTCAAACCTGGGCACAGCATTAAATCCTTTGAATTTGGAAATGGTTAGGACTCTGCCAGGTTTTTATTGCTGCCTGGGACTTCCCTTGGGAAGGTTATTTATTGCTTCATGTTGGTGATAGGCATTGCTTGGGAAGAAAGATAGGAGACCTCCTAATGACCTCAATACCATATTACAACCCCCTTCATTACCAGGCCATTTTTCAGGTTTTAGCGCTGTCAACGCTGTACCCAAATTAATTTTATATCTCCTTTATGCAAGCTTTTTTTTAAAATGGTATTTAATAACCACTGAGTTGTGTTTTTTTTGTTTTTTGTTTTTTTTCTTCTACATATAGGGAAGACTGAAACTGAAAATTGTGAAACAAAGTTTAGCTTACTTTTATAAAACATATTAAATACAAATACCAGGAAATGGCAATCGCCCTCAAATGACTCTTTTTGGAAAGGGGACACACTGATGTGATCTCCTTCTTGCCACAATTTGTTTTTCTTTTTAGAATTGAAGGAAAATGCTGGTATTGAAACATGGCAACCCGAGAGCAATAAAAAAAAAAGAGGTTCTAACCGGTTCGGATCTAAAAAAAATAGTTTTTAGCAGCAATCAGGTTCAGTGAGGGCTTGTGTCCACCATTACCAGATCAGAACCAGACCATAACGTTTTTTTAAGCACACCAGAAATGCGTCCCCATGTATTCCTATGGTATTTTAGGGCTATCGTTCCCAGCAATGCTTTCAAAATAAATACGGCAGGCACGGTTGTTTCTGGTCTGGAAAGCACCAGAACGCGACAGCGCGCATGAACGCATTGGGACACAAGTATAAAAAAACAAACACGACTGGTCAGCTTTGATAACCTAATCGACATTGTACAGTTCCTTTATGGAAAAGGGACGCTTTCACCTGAACATTGGTGACCTTGGCTGTACAAACATGGCGGACAATATGCAAGTCCACAGATAGGTTTGTCACCTATGTTACAGGAATGTCCTGAGCTTTATGACCCAAAACACCCAGGATTATCACACATAGTGGCAAGACATTGGCTGCATTCCATGGCTCAGTGTTTGCTACACCCCTGTGAAGGTCACAAACATGTGAAAAGCTGAGAAGCAGCAAATGGCCTAAGAGACATAATCTGCATGCTAAAAAAAAACAAAAACCGCATGTGAACACATCAAAAACGTGCAACTGCGTTTGCAAAAAAACATTCAGATCTGGTCTGGTGATGGTGGAAACAAGCCCTCAAAGCTGATACCATACACCTACATTTAGAAAGACTCCAATTTTCAGTGTTCATTACAGAGTACAGACATGTTCTGATCCATTTATGGCGGCATGTTGTGCGGTTTTCTGTGCTCCCTTTATTATTGTTTGGACTTGTATTATTCTTAGTGTGTTTTTGTTTTTTCCTCTTCCAGTTGTGCAGCCTAAAAGTGGAGGTGGACATGGACAAGATTGCGGCAGAAATAGCCCAGGCTGAGGAACAGGCTCGCAAGCGGCAGGAGGAACGAGAGAAGAGAGCAGCAGAGCAAGCTGAGCGCAACCAGATTCAAGCAGCTGCCACGGCAGCCGAGGAGGAGCAAGAAGCACCAAAGTCTGAAGAGAAGACAGAAGAAGAAGAAACTGCCATGGAGACGGGTACGTCCCAGTATAGATATAGGGACGTTCCTAAGAAACTTCCCTCTATCTACATTTCCTCACCATCTCTGAATGTAATGGTGCCGGGCTGTGATTTGGCTGCTTTTTTTCTATATTGATTGGGTAACTTTATAGACCTATTTCATAGAAGAGGCAGAATGCTTTATTTTACCCTTTTTTTAGAACATCTTTGAGTTGTAGCTTTTGGGGTAATACAGAATCCAGTTGATGATCTTTGATAAACTTCTGCTTAGACCTAACTGGTCTTTATACTTTAGCCCCTGGAGCTCTAATAATGCTGGAGTTCAGTAAATTCGGAGATGCTTGGTGACACTAAACTCTGGAGATAAATCTCATAAATTTAAGTACCTCAACTATTCACAAAAATGTATCTTATTTGTGTATCACTCGGCTGTAGATCCTTAAATCATTTCTGAATTGGTGCTGACACTGTCCTTCCTTCTGGAGGGGGGCTACTTTTGTTCCCCATGGTCCGTGTGTGTATTGTAGGTAGCCATTGCTCCAAGCTCGATCATGTAATGGACTACAATCTCATGTTTAGTTTACTCATTTGTATTGTGATTGTAGTCTATTATGGGAGCGAGCTTGGAGCAGTGGCTACTTTACATCACATACGGGGACCATGGGGAACAAACGTAGCCCCCCTCCAGAAGGAAGGACAGTGTCCGCACCAATTCAGAGATGATTTGAGGATCTACAGCCGAGTGACACAAATAAGATACATTGTTGTTAATAGTTGAGGCACTTGAATGCGTTTTTAAGATTTAAAAGAGAACTATGAGGTAAGTGTTTTTCCCCATAGTTTTCTCAAGGGTCACGGGAGGACATATACTAAGCTCCTGCCATGGCCCAAAGCTCAGTATATCGCGAGCTACAGCTCGCGATATACTGAGACCTCGGCAGCCTGGACGGATCCTGACATTACTGTTGAGATCCACCCAGCTGCGTGAGTGACAGCTGGCTCTGCCTATCTAGAGGCCGAGCCAGCTGTATCCTCCCCCGTCAGTTCTTCCAGTCAGCGCTAGAGGATCAGAGCGTGGAGGTGGGGAATCCCTGCGGTGAGTGTCAGTCACGGCTTTCTGCAGGTAGATGATCAAGAAGTGAGTGAGCGCTATGTGTTCGCTCACTTCCCGATTTATTGAGCCGACCTGTGACAGTTTCATTGTCACAGGTCGGCTTGAACTATGAGGATGTTATTTTTCACTCATCTCATAGTTCTCCTTTAACTCCTGAGTTTAGTATCTAGTGACTTTAAATTGAAATGACTCATAATTTCCAGCACTTGTGGCATTTTATCACAAGCGTAATTCATAGATTACTTTGTAGTTTCCCCACTTCATGACTATTTGTACATTACAAAAGTGCTGTTTGGCATCCATGCTGAACAACTGAGATAGAAAACCATTAGTTGTATTATAGTAGTAATGAGACAACCTGTCCCTTCCCATTCATATCTCTGCAACAGAGGGGTCATGATTTGGCTCAGTGTGGATGTGTCATGTTTGCAGTAAAGACTTTGTTCCCTTTTTTGTCATTTAATAATTTGTCTAGTGTCGCCATTTTCCCAGCATGACGAGAACTTTGGGCACTGAAGTATTTGACAACCTAGCTATCGGCAATTGTCCTGAAAGCCACCTGTTGTCACAAGTGATACCCAGATCTGTCACAATGGTCCCAACGGTGTGGCTGTGCACAGGGATCCATAGACCTGTGTTGGAAGTGAGAGAGAATCCCAGTTCCTTTGACAGTGACTATAATTAGCTAAATGTAGCAGAAGCCATGTTCATCTATATCAGGAGTGCCCATTAGGTCAATCGCGATCGAACAGTGATTAGCAACGCTGGCGCATCGCAATTGCGAGTAGGGTAAGTGTTCTCCTAACCGCAGCCAGCCGCGTGCTAGCGTTCTGCTGCTTTCAAATGCAGCTGCTGTCGCCTGATCATTAACTTGACCGGGGACAGCTGCCACATGTGAACGGCAGATTAGGGATTCCTGCTGCAGGAAACGGCCAGCCTCTGACGCAGAGTAGGTGTGAATGGAGCCTTAACATTGACCCAAACAATGCTTGTTGGACATGTCTGCTTAATATATCATTTTGCATTTTTCTGTTTCCAGAGGACACCCCATCTCTGCCCCCTGCAGAAGAAACTAGCGAGAGCCAGCAGAATGGAGAGGAGGGGACATCAACTCCTGAAGACAAGGAAAGTGGACAGGAGGCTGTGGACAGGACACTGGATGAAGGAACTAGTGACAGCAACACAGGATCTGAGACCAACAGCGGAACCGTTGAAGAGCCTACGGCGGATCAGACCACAGAGGAGCCAGAACGAAAGGAATGAGCGTCCTTTTACATTTACCAAATGCTGCTTTTTAATATGTGGCCCAAAGCTTGGTTAGGCAGGAAGCCTGTAGTCATTCCTAAATTATAACATTTGTGACTTCCAAACAAGAGAACGCTACAAAAAATGGGTCTCGGTTCCATTGGTTTAATGACCATGGCAGTGAGCGGAGCAGTTACACGGACTCGATGCCAGTAGTAAGCTTGTGTTGAAGTCACATTCACTCCTCGGTATAGGTCATTTGAATCCTCAGACATGGCTCAAGTTGCAGGTTAAAGGGCACCTGTCATGAGCAAAATCTGTTGGCTGTAACGCTGACCACATTAGGACATGCTATGTGCCTGGCTGTTGTGGCTTTAGCACGTTTGACTGACCTGGAGCAAGTAGGCCGAGCAGCAGTGATGACTAAACCCTCTTGCAGCTTTCTGGATACTTTCACAGCTCAGCGATTTCAGGAAGTTCTAAAGTCAGATGACCAAAAGCAGCAGCTGACTACATATTTGCCATGGCAGATACCCTTTAAACCCCCCTCCATCCATTTCTGCTGCTGTTTTGTAGCTGAATGTCCCACACCTAATTCTTGATGCTGTTTTTGTGATGACCTTCTACAAGGTTGTATTTTTTTTTTTTTTTTAAATCTCCAGACTGATTAAAAATGGAAACATCTTTTGTGTGTGTGATTTTGATTTGTAACTTGTACTGCAAAAGGTCCAGTAGGAGCCCAATTAAATGACCTGTCAGTCATGTGACCAGCCTCTCTGCATTCATAGAGCTCTCTCTGGGGAAAAGTGAACTCTGTGGATCATCACAGGGCTCCACAGCACGTCTTGCGAATTAAAATGTGGGTAGTGGGATCCATTCTCCTTTTTGAATCGGGCTCCTTTGTAGTCCTTTATGCTGCACGGGTATAATGTGTGTGCTTTTGTTTCAGAAATGAAGACAAAGATGCGGGCTGGCAATTGCGCCCACCTGCTTTCAATCAGCAGAGTAGTGAACCTGAGCGAGAACTTCCTCTATCAGATCTGCACTTTGCTGATTGACAGCAGGCAGTGGGTGGTTGCTATAGCCAGCCTGCTATTGGTTATTTCAAATTGCAATAACAGGCTGGCTATTGTACCTGCCCACTGTTCCCAT